GGATCATAAAACTTCTTTAAATGGGAATAAAATCTGGAACTAATCATTTTTTAATTTTACAGACAGATTTTAATTATTTATTTTTTTAACACTGCAATTAATTGTTTTTTCATCCATTGTAATGCAGTAAACATTAGCAACATTGTTTCCCTTCTAACAATCATCTTTGTAGCTTTTGAATAAATCAAACATGAATTATCCGTCAGGGTCGTAAATGAATAATTTCCAATTAAAATCTTTTTAAAGAATGTAACTATTATTATTATTAAAATTTCAAATATATCCATTTCTGACTTTACGTCATCACAAAGACAATTTTGAAGAAACTGAAACTTTAAGTTCGATCCTTTGTGTTGTTGTGGCCTCCTGTGGGCTGTCAGCAAACAGCTGCTGTTGTTTTTGAAGTTACTTTCATGTTAAATCAGCTTGTAGTTTAACCTTTAAATTTAATCTGCGTTCAGTTTGTGAAATTGTTTAATTTTTGGATTTGTGAGAAGTTTTGTAATTTCACATCGATCCTCAGCGCTGTGATGAGGTCACTCTTCTGTTTTAGCTAAATGTTTTAATGGAGTTCGAGTAGGAGGTCACATGAAGGTTTCTGACAGCGTTACGTTTCTTCTTCGTGGCTTTTCCATCAAAGTGACTGAATGAGTCTCAGCTGACTGCAGGTTCATAAACAGCACATTTGCATAATGACTGAAAACACCTCTGACTAACGGTGAGCCGCAACGTCAGTTTCATGGTCATTAATACGCAAATTATCACGACTATTGATCAACAGCCACACTGATCAATGGTCATTGTTAATCAGTGGTGCTGGTTTCAGATGAACAGATTTAACTTTGGGACAATAAACAGGAAGTTGTAGCAGAGTTCATGCTGTCGTAGCATCACACGGGTGACGGGGTAAAGTGAGCATGTTGTGGGTGTTGACCCAGCAGTGTTAGAGTTTAACACCTGAGAGTGCATGCCCCGACCGAATCAGCATCATGTCCCACAAAACCTGATGTTAGCGGGTTTTGTTTGCAGAGAGAAGCTGCAGCATGCTGCACTGTGATCATGCTCTCACAGTTATGGACAAATTGATTAATAATAGTAAACGGATTGTTCCTCATGCAGCGTTTTGGTTTTTCTGTCCGAGCAGAATTATGGTCTCTTGTTAACGTTTTTGTTTTATTTATTTACTTTATTATTCATATTGTCTTGTGGATGTTATGCTGCATCAGTCGGGGGGCGAACACCGGACTGTGAACAATAAGCAAAGAAACAGAAAAAGGAGAATCCCACAGAACAGATCCCGGGCCCCGGGAGGCCCAGAGTTCACCCCCAGCAAGAGACACGGGGAGCTGGGGCTGCAGCTGAGCACCACCAGCCACGTGATGGAAGTGATCAGTGCAGAGAGAAATACACTCATCCAACCACCAGTAATATACAAACTGGGCACAGGGCAGCGAGACTGTATGTGTGATGTATGTGTTTCCATGTTAGCTTTAGCTTCAGCACAGCGTGGCTGAGGCTGGGATACAGATGTGGACAGCTGCTGTTGTTCAGAGTTCCTGATTTTGAAAATGTTGTGTTCACTTTTGATGCCATGACAGAAACTGTAGTTGATTTAACCTGTGAGATCATCTTCTGCCATATTTAGTAGAGGAATATCAATAGTGTTACGTTCTTTGTCTGGGCGTGTATTGAACGCAACAAGAAATCGGCCCACTCCCACTCCCACTCCACCAAAGCAAG